GGAACCCTCCTGCACTGTCAGTGGGATGTAAAATAGTTCAACCATTGTGGAAGGCACAATGGAGGTTCCTCAAAAAACTAAAAAACAGAAACCCCATTTGACTCAGGATTTCCACTCCTAGGAATTTACCCAAAGAATGCAGGAGCCCAGTTTCAAAAAGACATATGCACCCCTATGTTTATCGCAGCACTATTTACAATAGCCAAGAAATGGAAGCAACCTAAGTGTCCATCAGTAGATGAGTGGATAAAGAAGATGTGGTACATATACACAATGGAATATTATTCAGCCATAAGAAGAAAACAAATCCTACCATTTGCAACAACCTGGATGGAGCTAGAGTGTATTATGCTCAGTGAAATAAGCCAGGCAGAGAAAGACAAGTATCAAATGATTTCACTCATTTGTGGAGTATAAGAACAAAGAAAAAACTGAAGTAACAAAACAGCAGCAGACTCACAGAACCCAGGAATGGACTAAAAGTTACCAAAGGGAAAGGGACTGGGGAGGATGGATGGGAAGGGAGGGATAAGGGGGAAAAGGGGGCATTACGATTAGCATACATAATGTAGGGTGGGGGCACGAGGAAGGCAGTATAGCACAGAGAAGACAAGTAGTGATTCTATAGCATCCTACTACGCTGATGGACAGTGACTGCAATGGGGTACGTGGTGGGGACTTCATAATGGGGGGAATCTAGTAACCATAATGTTGCTCATGTATTGTACATTAATGATACCAAATTAAAAATTTTTTTTTTAATTCAGATTTCTAGCTTCTCTGGAAAAAATCAAAACATGTGGCAGTGCTGGACCAACACAACCTCACAGGAAGAATCAGCTGGAACTCGAGAGCAGCTGCCCCTACTGGATAAGGAGGAGCTTACACAGTGACCACCATCCCACTTAGCCTACTTCACTCATTCTGGTTACCTGCTTGGCCCCAAATTCGACTGCTAATTCCTGTACTGGTTTATTCTGGGCTAACAGGCTTGGTGTGGTTATAAGAAGCAGACTCCAGACCTGGGAGGCATCATGGGGAACAGCTGCTCAACTGTAAATCCCCCAGGTTCCTGAAAGCTTTACAGAACACTAATCAAAAATACCTGTACAGATAACTGTTCTTCCTTAAAGTGCCAGAGTCGACTTTTAGCATTTTGGCAATCAGATGCCAGAGCAAACAGCTCGGCTTCAGCAAGCAGCAGTTGCTGCCTACATCGTGAGTAGTTCAAAAGCAACTCATAAAATTCATGCCTGTCCTGATGAGCCATGCTATCAAATTCTTCTAAATATGACTCAACATTTTCCAGCCATGAACCAGGCTCAAAGATTTTTAGCTGTTCTTTTGTAAACGCTACTAGCTCTGGTTGAGATGGGAGCTCCGGGTAGAGTCGCTCATTATGAAGCAAAGGTCGCACTGCCACCAAAGCTGGTACTTCTCCAGCAATTTCAGCTGGCAACTGGGGATACAGTTTTTTCACTCTAGGTAGCTGAAAAATGTCTTTGGCTTCACAAGAACTCTGCAAGCCCACATTTTGTAGCACCTCTGAAGAAAGGTCCAAGGCTTGTTTGCCTTCTTTCCTATCCTGAGTTTCTATGACCTGCAAATTTTCTATTTCTTGCTGAGTATAAGAAAAATTCAATTTCAGTGAGCTTTCAGAAAGTCCACATGGTGACAATTTATCTTCCTCAACTTCTGTAAAGTTCTTGAGGGTTTCTACTTGGGTTCCAACACTGTCTCCAGGGTCGACCTTGGGCTTGAATGCATTGTCCCCAGCACAGGCTCTGACCTCCTCTCCTTCCTTTGGGGTCTCTGGGGCACCTGTCAGAGACTCTTCTTTGCTTATAGTTAAGGAGGTGAGTAGTACATCAAACATTTCATGCTCACTTGGTCCACTGGCATCGTTCTGTAGCTGGGAGTCAGTTAATACCTTCTGACTGTCTCTTTTGAATTCACAAGCCAGAGGAGGGAATTCCAGCTCTCTGGAGGTTTCTGGAAGGGAGACTTCAATGGACTCTTCCCTCTGAAGGGTTTCATATTTCTTCTTTTCCTAAAAACAAGATTTATAATGTGAAATAATTTACAATATAATAACTGATGTTTTCAACATGAGAAATTTTTTAATTGTACACAAAATCTAAATTTTGTCATTTGACAAATGGAATCCAAATTCACTTCACAAGCAATGTTTCATATTTCATATTACTCAATTTTGAGTATGTTGAATTTGGGTAATTCACAATTCTCGTCCCAACAAAGGAAGACACCAGAAGAAGCAGCAAATTGTGACTGAAAAACAGAGGAGGTAAGTCTCACCTCCTGCTAGAGGTCCATTTTGCTAGAGGTCAAGTGAAACAGAGCAATCTTCAGCTATCGGAAGCCTCAACAGTTCTCTCTTCATTTACACAAACATACGCAAAACTCAGGCAGAAAAAATTAGAACTCTTCCCTATGGAAGAATTCCAATTAATAAATGTAGATGGAATGAGAAACAGAAAATCACCTTTAAAACACCATGGTAATAACTGCCACAGGCAAGATCTACTGCTGGGTGCTAAACCAAGTGAAAATGTAAGCAAAAACAGAGTATTCACATAGTCTCAAAGCATCTCCTAAATATTTAATAATTACAAAGAGAAGTTTCAGGGGAGAATCCTAGAAGACAACACCTTAATCAGGTGATCAAGGTTAATGTCACCAGTAACAAGGACATCTCCATTCGATGTTCTGAGATGTTCACCACCTACTTTGGTATCCTTTGCAATAATGTATAATCTCCCTCTCATCATAAGAAAACACCAGGCAAAAATCCAAGTAAGGGACAGTCTACAAAATACCTGAAGTGCCACAGTCCCCAAGGAAAAGACAGGACCAAGGAGCTATCAAGAGATTGGAGGAAACTCTGCAGACATGACAACTAAATGCAATGTGGGATCCTGGGTTGGCTCCTGGAACAGAAGGAGGACACGGGAAAACTGCTGAAATCCAAGTATGTTCTCTCTTTTAATTAACAGCATTATACCAACATTAATCTCTTGGTTGTGATAAATGTTCTACACCATAAAATTTATGGTTTTATAAGATAACATAAGAGGATGTTGGATGAAGGGTAGTACATGGAATTCTCTGTGTATTAGCAACTTTTCGGTAGTCCAAAATAATCTTTGAAAAAAGACAAAAAGAAGACTGACCCTTAAAAAAATTAAGTAAAATGAAAATGTCTATTTAAAAAAAAAATCTCAGGCACTAACACAAACTAGAAACATAGGAAAACAGAATGATGAAGAAAAAATTACAGAACAATAATTTAAATAAAATCATTAAATTCAAACAACTAAAAAAAATGACTGAATCACTCAAATACTTCCCTTCCACTATGAAATTTTCAGGAAGGCAAACATGAGCTACACAAGTTATCAGTGATTTTGGATTACGCTATCCAGCAAATGTCCAGCCAAAGGAAAGTTGACAACCAAAAAAGTAAGATATTTATTTGTATGTACTTAATGTTAGTTAAGAAAAGATGAATATTTTTGAAATGGCATTTAAAGTCAGCTTGCTGGTAATGAATATGGCTACCAAACATTTACAAATGGTAGTGATTTAAGAAGCAATGTACCTTTCCAAAATTACCTTTATCCATACTGTGGACTGTGGAAATTAAACTCGGAGTTTAGCTACACAGCGCATATCAACCAGTGTGCTAAACTGCATAAAATCATGAATAACAAGAAAGCATTACATGAGTATTTATAAGAAAATGAGAAAGTAGGTCCAACTGCACTGCAATGATGTTCAGCACACTTGATATAATAGATTTATTGGACTGGGAGGTCAACAAGAAAATTAGAAGAGGGAAGCCAACAGTTACCACAGTGAGAGAAAAACTGATGTACTGGTCAGGGCAGGGGCCAAATTTGAGTAAGCTGAACAATCAAAAATGAAACTAAGAAAACAATTTCATTTACAAAGAACAAAGAACAAAATACTTAGGAATATCTACATCATGCTAAAAAGCTTCTCTATAGCAAAGGACACCATCAATAGAACAAAAAGGCATCCTACAGTATGGGAGAATATATTTGTAAATGACATACCTGACAAGGGGTTAACATCCAAAATATATTAAGAACTCACATGCCTCAACACCCAAAAAGCAAATAACCCTATTAAAAAATGGGTGGAGGATAAGAACAGACACTTCTCTAAAGAAGAAATTCAGATAGCTAATAGGCACATGAAAAGATGCTCTACATTGCTAATTATCAGGGAAATGCAAATTAAAACCACAATGAGATATCACCTCACACCAGTTAGGATGGCCATCATAGAAAAGACTAGGAACAACAAATGCTGGCGAGGATGCGGAAAAACGGGAACCCTCCTGCACTGTCAGTGGGATGTAAAATAGTTCAACCATTGTGGAAGGCACAATGGAGGTTCCTCAAAAAACTAAAAAACAGAAACCCCATTTGACTCAGGATTTCCACTCCTAGGAATTTACCCAAAGAATGCAGGAGCCCAGTTTCAAAAAGACATATGCACCCCTATGTTTATCGCAGCACTATTTACAATAGCCAAGAAATGGAAGCAACCTAAGTGTCCATCAGTAGATGAGTGGATAAAGAAGATGTGGTACATATACACAATGGAATATTATTCAGCCATAAGAAGAAAACAAATCCTATCATTTGCAACAACATGGATGGAGCTAGAGGGTATTATGCTCAGTGAAATAAGCCAGGCGGAGAAAGACAAGTACCAAATGATTTCACTCATCTGTGGAGCATAAGAACAAAGCAAAAATTGAAGGAACAAAACAGCAGCAGCAGCAGACTCACAGAACCCAAGAATTAACTAACAGTTGCCAAAGGGAAAGGGACTAGGGAGGGTGGGTAGGGAAGGAGGGAGAAGAGGAATAAGGGGCATTACGATAGCACACATAACGTGGGGGGGGAGGGGGCACGGGGCAGGCAGTATAGCACAAAGAAGACAAGTAGTGACTCTATATCATCTTACTACCCTGATGTGACTGTAATGGGGTATGTGGTGGGGACTTGATAATGGGGGGAATCTAGTAACCACAATGTTGCTCATGTGAATGTATATTAATGATACCAAAAAAAAAATACTTAGGAATAAATTTAACAAAAGAAATGTAAAACTTATACTGGAAGTTACAAAATATTATTAAAAGAATTTAAAGGCTTACTAAATGGAAACACGTCTTATATGCATGAATCAGATCACAATACTGTTAAGATGGCACTACTCCTCAAATTGATAAACAAATTCAACACAATCTCATCAAAATCCCAGCTGCCTTTTTTGTAGAAAGTGACAAGCTCATCCTTAAACTCATACAGAAATGCAAGAGACACAGAAAAGACAAAACAATCCTGAACAAGAAGAACAAAGTTGGAGATCTCACACTCGGCAATTCCAAAACCTATTACATAAAGGCAGTTTGGTGCTAGCATAGCGATAGAAAGATCAATGGAACAGAATTGATAATCCAGAAATACCCTTCAAATTACAGTTAACTGATTTTCGACAAGGGTACCAAGAAAATACAATGGGAAAAGAATAGTCTTCAACAAATGATGATGAACTGGATACCCATAAAATGAAATTCGATCCTTAAATATCACATGCAAAAATTAACCCAAAAAGGATCACAGACGTAATGTTAAGAGCTAACACTTTAAAACTCTTAGAAGAAAGCATAGCAGTAGATCTTAACGACTTTGTGTTAGGCAAAGCCTTCTTAGACATGACACCAAAAGTTCAAACAACAAACAGATAAACTGGACTTCATAAAAATTAAAAATTTTTGTGCTGACAATGAAACCATTATGAAAGTAAAAAGACAACCCCACAGAATATTTGCAAATAAGTTATAAGGGGCTTATCCAGAATTAAAGAACTCTTCTAACTCAATGATAAAATGAATAACCCAGTTTAAAAATGGCAAAAGATCTGAGTAGACATTTCTCCAAAGATATACAAATGGCACATAGAAAGATGCTCATCATCATTAACCACTAGAGAAATTCAAACCAAAATCACAATGAGATACCATGTCACATTCACCAGCAGGACCATTTAAAAACAGGTAATAAGCAATTTCAAGGATGTAGAGAAATCAGGACCTCCATACAATGCTGGTGGCAATGTGCTATGATGCAGCCACCATGGGAAGCAGTTTGGCAGTTCCTAACTGTGGTGATGGTTGCATGACCCAATGATAACACTAAAAACCAACAAATTACACACTCTAAACAGGTGGATTGTACAGTATGAGAATTGTATCTCAATAAGATGTTAAAAATAAAGAGATTCTTAGAATTTAATGAGTTGAATAAAAAAATTAAGTAAGTAGAGACTGGAATATGAAATAGAGGAAGAAGATTTTTATTTCTCTTTTCTTAAGCTGTAAGATCTCTGGAGTTGTTAAACACTAACTGGCAGACAAGACAGGAAGTTGGAAGCAAGCACAAGCTGGGCTCACATGACCATGGCCACCACAAACCACCACACTCCCCCAGCCACAGGCTACCCAGAGCCTGCCTCTCCATTCAGTCCCCCAAGCCAGTGTAACCTTCTTCTGTCCCATATCATCCCATTCCAACCTCACTTCACCACTTCCTCTCTCACTGCCAGGCATGCTACTTGCAATTTCAAATTTTTCCCCTCCACTAAACAGAATGAAGTCTCCAGCTGCTAATCCCAATTTGCCTGTCCACTTTCAGCAGATTTACCCTCCTGGGAATAACCATAGCTGTAATAAAAGGAACAGATGTGGTTAGGTAATCAATCAGTTTTTTAAAACTTCCTAGCCCTTCCCAAAACACTTAAGCCTTTCTTTAGGTTTTTATTTCCCCGGGGGCTGAACTCAGTGCTTCTCAGGGTTTCAAAGGTGGAAACAAAAGAGACTCTATCTTTGCCTGTTACGGAAGTTAGGTCCAAAGAGGAATTAAGCTGGAGTTGCCCAGAGAAGGAGGTCAGGGGAGGAGAGAGAAGCCAGTGCTTTGAATCAAATGAACTAGC